GCACAATTTTTCAAAGCGAATTTCTGGATAACTTAAGCGTTCTTCAGTGAATCTGTCAAAATGCTGTATGTATCTATGGCCAAGTAATTATGTACATCGACACATCTCCAGAAGTTGAAGTCGAGACCCCAACCGTGAACCAGATCATTCTGCAAAATAACATAAAATAATAATAAGTTCTTCATTTTAGTTTGAGAAAAAAATTAAAGGTGGTTCAAATAATAATCCAGAATTAGTAATTATGAGCGACTGACAGAATCAACATGCGGGGGGCTTAAGTACCTGGATCATATGCCACACGCATCTCCAAGCATCCCTGGAGAAGACCGGCGCCATCACCTCCACGAACCTGCCCATGCATACAGTACATGCTTCTTCATCTTATTAACTTGTAAGATTTTCATACACATGACACGAGGTGAAGGAGTGGTGTTGATGATGTTGGATCAGTTACCCGCTGCACGGCCGCTGGTGCACGTCGGGGCACTTCTCCCCCCCTGCATCCGTCCTGTGTCGTTCAAGCATGCCCGCCAGATTAATTAATCATCATATGTGAAATGTGATGCATAATCAGTGTGCGTGCATGGTCATTCCTGCATGCCGGCATATATAATCAGCAACTGCTTGCTTACTTGTGCATCTCGCCGGAGTTTCTCTTGACGGAGACGTCGTACGCCTTGTGGCCCTTGGTGGCGTCCAGCGCCGGTTGCGAGATCTCCAGCCCGTGCTTCTTCACGATGTCAATGTACCTGCAACCGCCCGCCCACAGTTTCCGAATGATCAAATTTCAGAAAGCAGCTACACGTGGACTGGATTTTATTTTGATCGACGATGATCCTACGCTTCGGCGTTGAAGTTCTCTACGCCGAGGTCCTCGTCCCACAGGAACACGTAGTCGTACGGAGCCACGATGCTCGGGTGAAGGAACCTCTTGGCGAACCACCTTCGTCAATCATCATTCACACATTGCAGGTCAGAAATGTCTGGAGAAAGAAAATGGTGGAGACAGACGGACAGACAGGCACGGCGCTCTCACCATTTGGTCTGCTTCCTGGCGCTGACGTGGACGGCCTCCTTGGACCACTGGAACTCGTCGTCCCACTCCGTCGTGTGGCCGTCGTAGTGGAACAGCACCACGTCGAACTTGTCCGAGAACTGCGTTATGTATGTGTAGTCCAGTGTCATCTGACCGTTATGTCCGAGACAGCATGATCAAAGTTCAGAAACCACTTCTTGGTTTCATCTTACCTTTTGAACAGTTGCATTGACATTGACCCTCTCCTTGTACCCTACCGCCATTGTCAGGAGGTACTTCCGAACCGGCGCGTCCTGCGCATCGCAAACCGAAACAAGTCATTCAGAGTAAGGCTGGGTAGAATGGCACCAGTTCAGGGTTCGGAGAAGGCGAGAAAGACCTTGGTAGGGGATCCCCACAGCCGGCGCAGGTGAAGATCGGACTCCGAAACCACGATGCCCGGCGGTAACCTCCCTGCACCTTCTGGTCTCCTTGCAGCATTCACAATCTGCACAAATGCAGGTTTGTTTAGATCATCTACAAACATGCAGTGTAATTTCTTCAGAAAGTTCAAACTGGACCATTTCAGAAGTTCAGAACTGTGTGCATGTAATGTACCCCTGAAGTGGCATTTGAGGTGCTACTGCTGCTCCTGAATAATGGTGCCCAGAGTCTGCCCAGGAAGCTGCCGTCACTGGAGCTGGAGTTTGCAGCACCGCTGCCACTCCAAGGCAGTACACCACACTGAAGCTGCATACATACATGACCAATCTTACTATCATGATGCCAAGTTAATTTGAAGCAAATATACCAAGATAAAAACATTTGCTGGTTCTTATCATACATTGGGCGTCATCGATGCCGGGAAAGTAAAGCCGAGGACGAACCCCAACAACACCATGGCTAACGCCGACAGAACCGGGACTAATCTCATCCTCACTGCATATATTATTCAGTCACCACGGAAATTTCAAGAAAGAACACCAATATCAATATAGTAACAAGATTCTGATTCTGCAGGGCAGACACTTACAAGATCGATATCGATCGATGACGGCCTCTGCTTCGGGTGCGGGCAGGAAGAACAGAGAAATGTCTCTGCAATTTAGGCCATGACATTATACGATCTACTACCCGAGGACGACGACTCTGCAGCGCGTGTCTTTGATCCGAAGGAACATGGTGGAGTAGGGAGGAGGAAAAGATCGACAGTCTGCCTTAGACTCGCATCCAGAGCATATGCGCAGTTGACTTCCCTCAAAAAGCAGTCTTGGTTGGATCGGATGGAAGCAAAATGGAAGCCAAGTTGGAGAAGATCAGCTCGTATATGGCATGATGTGGAGCCTGCCTGGTTTGGGAGCCGGTGATAGACCAGTAGCTGTGTAATCTACACATCGGCGGCGACGATCGTGCCTCTGATTTGGGCAGCGTGAGCAGCAGGCGGCGCCTGTTCCTTAGAGTGCCCGCAGGATAGACATGGTGCAACGTATAAATAGTACTCTCTGGTTTTTTTTACTAAAAAACGCTCTTATATTATGGGACGAAGTGAGTCTATGGAGTACAATTTGTGGTCTCTGACAGCATTAACGTGATGGTTTCTTTCTTATTAGAGCATCCGCGATCGGACTCCCGCAAACGTCTAGATGGATTGCCCGATCATTGCCCGAACCAAAAATACAACACCCATCCGGACTCTCTACAACCAGCTCAAACACCCCGGGCTATCCGGCAACCCATATCCAGCTCATATGTGAGGCGGATGTGGGGAGGCCCCGACGCGCCTGGACAACACATTGGACCGGCCCGCTATGGCCTACGCCACCCTCACTATTAGATATATTGTTTAAACATGTAATCTCAACCTCTATCTCTAACTTTCCCGTGACTATTTCTATCTCTCTTTCTCTGTAACTATCGTATCCTGGTGATCGATGGAAGGCTCGTAAACCACGGCAGGGGGTTCCTGTCCTCAATCAATATAAACAACGTGGGTCTCTTACAATGGAGTAGGTACGCTTCCATCTGGCATGGATAGAGAGCCATCCTCTTTCCATCTATCTAGCCAGAAGCTCCAACGATCGTCAGAAACTCTATTGATCGCTAGAAACTCCAATTGATCACCAGAAACCAATCACTATGTCGTCCTCAGCTCCTGTCTCCCTCAACCTTGGAGCCCCACCAGCGGAAAAGCTTACCAAGGGTTTCTCCTCTAGAAGGCACAGGTGATGCTAGGTCTGCGAGGAGCGCAGGTCACAGGCCTTCTGGACGGATCTGATGCAGCGCCCTGGAAGATGGTGGAGCAGCAGCAGACAAACAAAGCAACAGTCATGGTGCACAATCCTCTATATGTGCCATGGTTGTCCAAGGACCAACAGGTCCTCAGCCATCTTCTGAACTCTGTCAACGGAGATTCTCGCCCAAGTTATGAGTAAAGAAAATACTTTTGATCTATGGACTACCATTACCACTATGTTTGCCTCGCAGTCCCAATCTCGAATTACGAATTTGAGAATTGCCATCACCACCACCAAGAAGGGCTCCATGTTGAGTACCTCATACATAGTCCGGATGAAAAAACTAGCGGACGAACTTGCTGCAGCAGGCCGGCCTGTCTTTGATCCGGAGATGGTGGACTGTGTCCTTGCTGGTCTCGATCGGGATTATGATCCGATTGTGGCGGCCATTGGCACCGTCTAAACATCCATCACCATCGACGAACTCTTCGCCCAGATCGCTGCTTTTGATCAGCGGATGGAGATGCTAGGCGACGACTCCGACGCTGGCTTCAACACCTCTACAAATTTGGCGTACCGGAGGCATGGCCAGTCTTGTGGCAGAGGGCGCGGGCGCGGCAACAGAGGCCGCGACCGAGGAAGGCACTCACCCTCTTCTCCAAGCAGCGGCAGTAGGAGAGGTGGTCGTCCCCAATAGCAGCAGCAACAACGTCCACCGCACCGGGACTATCCCGAGTGCCAAATCTACCTCAAGCATCATCGCGGGGCGCCCGTGAGTGTTGGGATCGCTATGAGGAAGATGAGTACGAGGAAAAGGAGGAAATGCCATCACCGACTCCTACGGCATCGACACAAACTGGTATGTGGATATGATGACCCACAAGTATAGGGGATCACTCATAGTCCTTTCGATAAGTAAGAGTGTCGAACACAACGAGGATCAGAAGGAAATGACAAGCGGTTTTCAGCAAGCACTGAAATTATCGGTAACAAATAGTTTGGTGGCAAGGTAATTCGTAACGAGCAACAAGTAACAAGCGTAACAAAGGTGCAGCAAGGTGGCCCCAATCCTTTTTTAGCAAAGGACAAGTTTGGACGGACTCTTATATGAAGAAAAGTGCTCCCGAGGACACATGAGAATTATCGTCAAGCTAGGTTTCATCATGTTCATATGATGTGCGTTCGCTTTTTTGATAGGGTGGACCGGTGCTTGGGTGTTGTCCTTACTTGGACAAGCCTCCCACTTATGATTAACCCCTCTCGCAAGCATCTGCAACTATGAAAGAATAATTAAGATAAATCTAACCATAACATTAAACATGTGGATCCAAATCAGCCCCTTACGAAGCAACGCATAAATTAGGGTTTAAGTTTCTGTCACTCTAGCAACTCATCATCTACTTGTTACTTCCCAATGCCTTCCCCTAGGCCAAAATCATGGTGAAGTGTCATGTAGTCGATGTTCACATAATACCACTAGAGGAAAGACAACATACATCTCATCAAAATATGGAACGAATCCCAAATTCACATGATTACTTATAACAAGACCTATCCCATGTCCTCAGGAACAAAAGTAACTACTCACAAAGCATGTTCATGTTCAAGATCATAGCTGTAATAAATATCATTAAAGATCTGAACATATGATCTTCTACAAAATAAACCAACTAGTATCAACTACGAGAAGTAATAAACACTACTAGCAACCCACAGGTACCAATCTGAGGTTTTGAGGCAAAGATTGAATACAATAGATGAACTAGGGTTTGAGATGAGATGATGCTGGTGAAGATGTTGATGGAGATTGGTCCTCCCACGATGAGATGATCGTTGGTGATGACGATGGCTTCGATTTCCCCCCTCCCAGTGGGAAGTGTCTCTGGCAGAATCGCTCTACCGGAGCCCTAGATTGTTTCTGCCCAAGTTGCACCTCGAGACGACGGTGCTTCATCCCGAAAGCCTTCTCTCAATTTTTGTTGGTCAAAACCCTTTATATAGCAGAAGATGGGCACCAGAGATTGTCCGGGGGCCCACAAGCTCAGGGCGCGCGCCTTGGGGGGTAGGGCGCCCCCAGGCTTGTTGCCACCTGGTGGGTCCCCTTCTGGTCTTTCTTCGCCTATTTTTTATATATTCGAAAACAATTCTCTGTAAAGTTTCAGGAGAGTTGGAGTTGTGCAAAATTGGTATCTAAGGTTTGCTCCTTTCTGGTCCAGAATTTCAGCTGCCGACATTCTCCCTCTTCATGTAGATCTTGTAGAATAAGAAGAAAAGACATAAGAATTGTATCCTAAGGTGTAATAACAGTCCATGATGCAATAAATATCAACATAAAAGTATGATGCAAAATGGACGTATCAACTCCCCCAACCTTAGACCTCGCTTGTCCTCAAGGGAAAGCCGAAATCGATAATCATGACTACATGTTTAGAGATAGAGGTGTCGATAAAACAAAATACGGATATGAGGGCATCATGATTATCTTTAGAACAACAATATATTGTCATATAACTTCTTATGCTAAAGTGATAATTCGTTCACAAGATAAAGTATGAACCAAAAACTTCATTGAAAACTAACAAACTATGGCCTCAGTCATTGATGCGATTGTAATTTTTTATAATGTCAGAAATAGTCAATGTAAGAGCTTTTATTTAGCAAGTGCACATACTCAACCATCATTTAGTCTTTCATAATTGCTAACACTCATGCGATACTTATGAGATCAAAGCTTCAATCAGACACATAGAAAGATAGGGGTTTATAGTTTCGTCTCCCAACCATTTACCTCAAGGGTAATGTCAACAATAATAACTTATGGTCACTTTAATCCGAGTGGATGTATATGTCTGGATCTTTCTCCAACACATAGTGCTTGCCAAAAAGAGAAAAGTAAAAGAAAGTGTGAAGATCACCATGACTCTTGCGCACCCAGCGTCAACTGGAATTCCCTGGACGCTCACTTTGTCAAGATGTCATTGTTTCGCAACTAGCGATCGACGAAGCGATCGCAGTGGGCCAACCCATGTAACCTGTTTACCATATATAAAGATCCTGGTTTTGAGAAGGTTCCATGTTCAGTTTTTTCTGTCTTTAGGAACCTTCTAGAAGGAATTTGAATGAATGTTTCTGGTTCTCCTTTTTTGTTTTTGTTTTTTCTTTATTATGTTTCTTTTTTCCTTTTTTTCTTTTTTTCTTTGTCAAGTTGATTTACTTCTTAATATTATTTTTCTAAAATTTTAAGTTTTGTTCAGATTTACAAAAAAATGTTCATTTTTTCATAATTTCTTCACAAATTTTAAAAATGATTGAGTATCAAAAAATGGACAAGAATTTGAAAAATGTTCTTGTTTTTAAAAGTTGTTCACAATTTAAGAAATGTTCAGGAATTTTAAAATATGTTTCCTTTTTTCTAAAAAATATTCAAAAATAGAAAAATCATTTTGCAAAAAGGTTCAGGAATGTTCATGTTTCAAATTTTATTGAGGAATTCAAAAAATGTTCGCGCTACAGAAAATATTCGACAATTTCAAAAAGTTCGTGACTTCAAATTTTTCTTCAGAATTTTATGAAAGTTCCATGTTTTCGTGGTCTCAAACTTTGCTAAGAAATTCAAATAATGTTTGTGTTTCAGAAAATATTCGAGAATTATAAAAAATGTTCATGATCTCAAATTTTGGTTTGGAATTTGTTGAAATGTTCCATTTTTATGTTCACAAATTGAACAAATGTCCGCGGATTTGAAATTTTGTTCATAATATCATAAAATGTTCCAATTTTCAAATATTTGTTGAAAAATTCAAAAAAATCACCATTTAAAAATATGTTCGCAAATTCAAAAAACTATTTATGTTTTTCAAAAAGCAAATATTTTATTCATTTGTACTGCCTTTTAAAAAAAATCACATATTCAAAAATGTTCCTATCTCCGAATATTTGTTCAGGATCCCAGAAATGTTGGCACGTTTTCAAAATATCCATTAAAAAAACGTTCACCCGAGGAAATAATTCAGGTTCGCTATAATAGTTAATTCCGGTTAGCTACAGAACTGGTTCTGGTTTGCTACAGTAGAATATTCAGGTTCTACATCCACTTTAGTTCTTGAAACTCTTTGCTGCTACTTGTTAACTTGAGTGGCCAGGTGTGCTCTATACTATGCTGTAGGTCGCTGGTTTGAATTATGGGACTGCGCGCGTCTCCTTTTCTATGATACCTTTTTACTCCTACGGTAGAACTCGATGGGCCGGCCCAGTAATTTTTGTTTAAATAGGGGCTCCCGCAGGATCCTATGTTCATGGTTTTAAAAACATTCAACCGGATTTTTGATTGCCTAAAAAAAAGTTCAACCCGATTTTGGGTAAGTTCTAGAACGCATGTGCGGTTCTTTTGGTTTTCTTTCTTTCCTATCCTTTATACTCCCGCTGTATCAAATTCTAAAACATTTTTGTTTAATTGTATTTTCATTTTTCTACTCATCCCCCTCTCTTTTTTATGCCTAGATATTTTTAAAATTTGTCTTTTGAAATTCTCTATTTTTTAGAAATTCATGAATGTTTATAAATTCATTAGTTTTTTTCTAAATTTTACGAACAATTAATCAAATCAATGAAAACTTTTTAAAACTTTTTGAACATTTCTTAATTTTATGAATATTTTTAAAAATGTGAGAAATATTTTAAATTCATGGAATATTTTAATTCATAAAGATTTGCTAAACTTTATGAACAATTTTCAGTTTTTCTCTTTTTTTGAGTTCATCTTTTCCCCTAATGTACACGAAAATCAATAGCTAGTTTTTCTGAGCCAAATCTATGGTAGTTTAAATGGTCATGAAAGACAAAAACTGAGCGAGTGATAAGTGAGAGAAGCAGTGCGAGCGAGCACCTAAGAAAAAGTGAATTAAACTGAACGCACATAGATGTGTGAGGGCGTTTTGGGGTTCTATTCCATAAGAAGGTTTTTTTTTGCAACATAAGCCCTCAAAGAGGGCTAAATTTTATTCCTTCACAACTGAAACAGTGCACACATAACATTTTTTCCATACGAAAGGAAATGGCTTGAAATGCCATCTTAGAGCGATCTTAGAGTTACATCTAGAAGCCTTGCTGCAAAGGAAGTTGCAAGAAGAAGATCTATTCAAAGAAGCTTTTTGGCAAGGGAATGAGCCTGAGTATTTTGGATTCTTGGAATGTTCTTAACCTGCAAGAATGAAGATTGCATATGATGTCGTCATGTTGAAGAACTCGGCTAATATAAGCCTAATCCTCCAATGACCTGGCTGTTGGGTTAATTGTTTCCTTCCACCGCTTCAATCAGAGTCTTGCAACGAGAGAAAATTAGAATCGAGTTCCTGTTCAAGGCTTGCCTTGTTGTGGCTTCTAGAAGAAGTCCCGAAGCTTCGGGCTGCAAAACAGAATATGCTCTTGTGGCAGTATCTCGTATAAATATTGTGTGGACACTGAGCTCATTCCTTAGAAATATTCCAAGAAAGGATTCATTTGTTGTCGCCCTAGAGTTAAAGGCTGCATCAACATAGACTTTAATACCTGTAGGCAAAATGGAAAAATTGCATTTGGCGAGGGTTTTGATAAGTTAAGAGCAGGAGGTTTGTGACCCGCTTCCCAATCCTCCATTGAACCTGCATTTAGCATGCTTTGTGGCATGTCTTACATGCATAAGACTCTAGGTTTTCCTTTATAAGAGGAGCTCATTTCTATCTTTCCAAATATTTCAGAGGATAGTTAAAGTAGTGCTTAAAT